GGATAGTCAACTGTTTGAAAATGCTATATGAATGGGTCCTGATTGGCCTGGTTGGGTAATTCGATACCCGGTTTTCGTGTGTAATAAGACGCTCTGGATGGATTTGCGTCTGTAATGATGGGAATAGTATGGATTTGAACGGGTGCGGGCACTCAGGCCCCTTGTTTTGTTATTGATCTTTTATGAAAAGATGTTATCGATATGATATATCTGCCCACCGAATTGAAGAACTCGATTAGGAATGGATTTTCTAGCCCTGCCAAGCTGAAGAACTTGGTGAAAATAAAAATTTTAGTCTACCGAACTGAAGAGTTTCGGTAAAGGCATGGGTATCAGCCTTACCAAGCTGAATAACTTGGTGTAAGTAAAGACTTTATCATACCGAGCTGAAGAACTCGGTGTAATATTTTTTCTGTCGCATATTTCCCAGCCGGGAAGGTCTTATTGACTTTGCCTAACCAGTGTGGGCCCAAACAGATGAAGGCGTTTGGTTTATTGTATTCTTTTAATTTGGACGTCAAGATGTATGTCCGATGCGCATATGTAATGAATGTATGTGTGACGCGCGTATGTAATGAATGTATGAACGCATTAATACTGAGAATGCCGATGCATAATGCACATGTGCAGTAAATCATTAATGTACGATAAATAAGGATACCTCGATGTTTCGTCGAGTCTGAGTTCCTTTTCTGAGTCTGATGTCATAGTCTGGAAAGTCGGTATTATGAAGAACTGACAAGTAAGCTGTTTTGAACTTGCAATACTCGACATTGTTCAGGCTGTGTCTCAGTTGAAAAAAGGGGTCACCGAACTTCGTCACGGTTCGATTACGGAACGGCCTCAACCAAACCAAGTGTGCTCGGCTGTCAATGAGACCTCGTCAAATCATGTTTGCTGAAGTGACGTGGACAAGCTTTAGCCCAACCAAACCATACGTGGGATTTGGATGTATTACAAAGCGTCAGCAAAACCGAGTGTCATAATGTTTACATCGGTACCGAGCTGTTGCCCGCATTTTTTTTGTGATAATTCTGTTTTGCGGCCGGAGCAGGGGCTCGACGGTAGGACAATACGGAGCAGAGGCTCAACGTAGGAAAATATAGACTTCCGCTCAACCGGAGTCGAGACTCAACAGCGAGAAAATAGGGACGTCGTCTCAGCCGGAGTCGAGGCTCAACGGCGAGAAAATATAGATGTCAGCTCAGCCGGAGTCGAGGCTCAACGGCGAGAAAATAGGGATGTCGGCTCACCCGGAGTCGAGGCTCAACGGCGAGGAAATGTGGATGTCAGCTCAGCCGGAGTTGAGGCTCAACGGCGAGGAAATAGACGTCGGCTCAGCCGGAGTCGTGGCTCAACGGCGAGGAAATGTGGATGTCAGCTCAACCGGAGTCGAGACTCAACGACGAGCTCGGTGATTTAGCCTCAGCAGAATAAATAAGTCAGGCCAGCTTTCGACGTTGATAAATGACTTCGACTTTGGTATAGATGAATGAAATTGGCCCCGGTGTTCGTCGGTTCGAACAAATAATCTCTGTCCCGGCTCAAGTCGGTTTAAATAAATAATCTCGGCCCCGGCCCATATCGGTTTGAATAAATAATCTCAGCCCTGGCTATTGCTGGTACGTATAAATGAGCTTGGCCCCTACTGTTCGCCGAGTTCATTAATTTATTGCCCACATAATATTTCTTTTGGGCCTAAAGGCCCAATGGTCAAAGTGAAAGAAGTGTATTGATCTGGTGCATCACTTTTCATAGTGAAAATCAAGTGGGATCTTATCTTCGAGCTGAAAAATTGGGCCGCCAAGGACAAACGTCAGTGGCAGTGACGAAGAAATTTGGTCCCAGCGATGGTGAAGAGATCGGGT